CATCTACTATGTACACTTGAAATTAATATCATATCTCAAAATGATTAATCAGCCTTAACTAAAATGTGTCAAGTTCAACATGTTTGACATTTTACAAGTTTACGCGCAAAATTGTGTCTAATTCCGTCACAGATAATAAATAATTGCTCGTGGAATTCGTTTAATTTCTAAGACAGAATTTTTTGTAAACATGGACGCTCGAATGCTCAGTGGTCGTGGGTTCGAATCCTGCTCATGTCTTTAAATTAAAAATCAATTTTAATTTCCATAAGAATTTATCAGTTTCAATTAATAATAATACTTTCTGTCTGTCTTCAAAATCTTTATATAATAGCTTATTTTTTGAAGCGAGTGTGCTTTGAATCACAAACAAAATACCACTAATTAAATAAATACATAAATAATGATAAATATTGAAGTAATCTGCAGTTAATTACAAACATAAAGCGCGGGTTGCGAGAGGCTTAACTTGTATAGGCTTTTAATTCGGCTATGTGAAAGTATGGGTTTTTTTTATCAGATTCCGGTTCCTTTAATCACATATTTATTCTACTGTGATTCGGAAAGATACATTTCGAATATCTAAAGCCCAAACAGACTCTTCTTTAAAAATATTAAAAATGCACAATTTTTGGTACATAGCCGGTGTACTCAATATTATAAATGAAAGTAAGGCTGTATGTTTGTCGTTTACGCTCAAAAGGCTGTTAAAAATAGCAATACAGCAGACACAAAATAAAATGTAATGTATAAGGAACCCCAAAATAATTTTATGCGCCTCGATACGAACTCAGGACTTCACGCGAACGTAATGCTTTAAACCATTCAGTGAAATGGATATGTATGCTTAGAGTGTTGTAGTTCTAGTATACTGGCACATATTTAAATAAAACACTTATTTTAAAACGCGATATATTAGTTAGAACTAATATATCACGTTTTAAACCGTTAAAGTGTCTTATTTAAATGTGTACTACTCGCGTAAACTATAGACAGTATACTGGTACATAACCAATTAAATATAAAATGCATGCTTATATAATGGAATTAGTATGAAATAAATGCACTAGTTGTATTTTTATTAAGTGGAATTTTTCATCCGAGAATTTGTTGGAAGTTTATTTTATTATGTTGGCTGTAGTGTGAAGGGCGAAGAGTAGGTTTGAAGGGGATTTTGAAAAACTTGGACGAAGCCCTTCTAATGTAAGTAGAACGATATATTATTTATTAATTTCGTTTTGATACTAAACATACACACAATTGACATCAGTCTCCGTCACACACAGTTAAGAAAATAATAAGTAATTTTTTGACACTCAAAAATAACTTCTTATTTATTTGACAAAGAATAAATGAATAATTCAATGCGTTCACGTTTGTCACGGTTTTTTGCAAATTAGATGTTTCATCTTCACAGAAAAGCATTGTAATGCGAGAAGAGTGACATAAAAAGGATTTGAAACGAGTACTATGTTTGTTTGTACAGTATTGCGACTTGTGATGCTTAACATTATAACCATGTCTTACAGACTACATGGCTACTACAATTAGTCGGGCGTAAATAACATACCCGAAATAGTTTAGCAATATACTTCAGAATTCGAACCTAAGACCTCTTGTCTCGCGCTTCAGAAGTGAGGCATGAATGTCGAACGCCTGGCCATCATGAAATTTTCATCAGACTCTTTTGCATTTAATATTTTTCATATTTTTGTACCTACAGAGTAGACTCCGTAGCTAAATTTGTTATAGCAACAGAACGGAACGCTGTGAATGCCGCTTCAAGTCTTGCCCGAGTCATAATATTTTTCTATTTTTTTTTCGATTTTGAATTTATATTGATTCTTTGAAGGATTGATTACATACAGTATATTATATAATTAAATAATACCTTTTTAATTTTTGTTTTAAGAATTGCCTATTGAATGTAAATTCAAATAATTCCAAATTTAAATTGTTCCTAGGCTGCAGTATTCCGAGAATCACTTTACGTGTTTTGTTCGATGATATCAGAAAATTTCCAGTTACAGCATAGTTCTGATCCAAAACTTGTTTATTTTACAATCATTTTACGTTTTTTATGTAGTATCTTTATTTATCTCGCACTGATAACAAGTTTTGTCTCTTGTCATTTAAATATTACATCGTAAAATGTTAACCGTATTGTAAGTAACGCAGCTGGTTTTACAAAGAAACCCCTTGTTTTGGCACCTGGGAACTTTAGACAAAGAAGTTTTTTTCGGTCATGTTCATAATTTATCTACCTATAGGGTTCGCATTCTATAGAAGTTAGGAGCTATATTATACGAGTGTACTTTACACTGTTTTGTATTCGTAACGTAAGTGGAAATTTTACTAAGCTGTTTAATCTTGTACTAGTAATCTCCAATATATAAAATAAATCAAAAACACAAAGGCCGCAACAACATTTTAACGTGTCGTTAATTTCTTTACAACGTATTAACGAACCGTTAAATTACTTGTTAAGCACTAAACATAGTTAACACTTGTTAATTTTACGATTTTGTTAATTTTCCTTTTTAATTATAGAATCACGAATACTCACTGTAATTTTTATTAAGTTCCTTTTTTGAACAATATTTAACACAATGGCGTCTTTCACTTGTTTTTGAGTAGGATAAGAATTATTGGTTTTTATTAATTAATATTATTGTACACTAGAGTTTTAACGCGGTTGCGTAAATAAGATCGAAAATGTTTCACTCTCGACGCGGGCGCACACACTACGTGCGACCCGTTCACTGTTCAGACAAACTACTAACCAGTATATAGCAGGCTGCAGCCCGCGGGCAGAGACTGGATTGTGGTGTAAAAAATGTAAACAAAGTTCTAAACGGCAGGTACTAGTGGACATTTTAATGAACCCGCTATTTTTTATGAATTATGCTTGAAATACTTGGAGTGTAAAAACTAAATTGCAATAGAGATTAGCGAAAGTGTGGACGAGCTGGTGAAGTTATTATTGACACAAGTTTCCTAGTGGACAAGGTAACAATAATGGCCAATAAAGGAACTTTGGTTTTGCTCTACCGTGACAACTAGATACATCAAAAGACACCCAAACGCCACTGAAAAAGTTTTGTTTTTTGTGTATGCAGCATAACACAGGTTAAATACATCCCATGTTAGTAATTGTAACAAGTAGTATGTACTATAACAAACAGTCGAATACAATTTGCATTGTTTATTAAACATACCTACTTGTATGTTGGTTTTATAAACTACTTCCGGATTATGTTACATTAAATAGTGCAAAATATTTCAATAAAACACTTTAACGGTTTAAAACGCGATATATTAGTTAAACTTATTAGAAAATGATTTTTAACTTCGGCCCGACGTTTCGGATGCTTTGCAGCAGCCGTGGTCACGGGGAGACCCGTATCTGTTTAATTTGTACGCGCCTTGTATGATGATAAGCAATTATTTATATAATCAAGTTTGTAATAATATTATACGAAATGTAATATAGGAAGATAGTTTTGTCATTTTTATTACGGATGGTAAGTAATCTCGTGGGAATCTTTTCGATGGTTCATTTATTTTACAATCGACCGCACAGCCCGTGGACAAAATATTATAAACATATAATATAACGTTCTTTAAAAAAAAAAAAATTTAGGTAAAATATGCCTTTCCTAAGTTGTATCTACTTTTTTGGCTATTCGTTTGAAGTTGCTTTTCAGAGAATCAAAAAGAGATATCCGTCCATAAAATATATTATTTGACATGTTAATTAAAATAAGTGTAATATGTAGTAGTAATATGTACTTCATAGATATGCACTGTCAAACTTATCATCCTACAAAAGACAAAGTATAATATGCATTAAATATTGACTTCGTAGTTGTAATCTTTTTAACATGTCCTTAATGGTATTGGAAAATAACGTATCCATACATTTTTTACATGATGAGATCATCGAATCAATCAACGAATTTAACGTTTAAATTCGTTTACTAAAAGGATTTAGAGCCGACCTCTAAGACAATATGCTAAGATGTATTGAAGCTAAAATTTCGTGGCGTCACGTTTTTTGAAAATGCAAAGCTAATAAACAATTTTTATACTATCCATACTTAATATTATGTTGGTTTACAAAATTCGATGACTCCAAGAATATGCGACAACTATACACCTACTAACTTGCATAATAAGTGCATTAGTCTAGAGAGGGAAAGAGTTAAAGATATGACAAGAAAGAGACAAGAACAATGATCGTACGCAAGACTTAATAACCTATTACTACTTAGTATAATACTCCTATGACGTCATTTATAGATGGACGGTAAAGGTTTTATCTAAGTTTTACAATTAACTAATGACATAAAACTGTAGGCTAATTAAAAGACAAAAGTACAATATTGGTTTAATTTAAAATCGAGAAAAGAACACACCACACATACTAATATTTACACATTATAGTATACTGACTAAATCATGCTATAATTTTAACTACAACTAATGACAATCTAATTAAAAAATATCAGTTATTTACAGGTCGTCTTAACTACACAATCTTTAATAATTAAAATTTGCTTTCGAGCCTTGATTTTTCGGGCACTAGAAATGCACAACCAAACTGTGCCCAGAAGTCCAATTTATTAAGTTCTAAAATTTGTTTTCTAAGCATGTTTTGTCTATATATTAAGTACAATATCTGTTATGTAAAAAAATGGCTATAATTTCCATATATTTATATTATTATAACGAATAAATAAGCTTCCGAAAACATTAGGAAACCTGAATTGATATATTTAGTCCCTTTCAGATGTAGTCTTCATCACAGATATTTAAAACTGCATTATTTAAGCCTATTTTTGTGGAAATAAATTAATTCTTCACCTGATTTCAAATCATATGATCGCCCACCATCAAGGCGTTTTAAGATTTAGTTAAGTTTTTTGTCCGCATCTTACAATAATTACAATTTGTTGAAAGTCTTTCATTTCAATATGTCAACCGGGTTTAATCGAATATTACGGCAGGTCACTTATCTTCTCTTCTTTCTGTTTCTTCTTATCTAACTTCTCGTAAATTTCTTCTACGCTCTTGTGCCTTGTTTCCGGGAATGAAAGTACGGTGTAAATACAAGCTATGAACGACACGATGGAGAAGAATAGGAATGTCCAGTGGATGCTGATCAGTTCACAGACCTTCGTGAACCATTTCGTTTGTATAAAGTTGCTTAGTTTCGCGCAAATATTGGCGAATGCTGACACAGTTCCGCGGAGCTGGAAAGAGAAGGCTTATAGTTAGACACAAAAATGTAACAATTTAGAGAAGGTATATGAATTAAGAAGATACATACAAGAACATAGAAGAAGTTGAAGCTAGGACTCCATTACAAAACCCAACAAATATAACTGATATACTAAATAAAACGGTCTCTCTTCTGTTTTACTAATAAATTTTGGATATATAAAAATAAATTCAATTGTATGAATTACAAAGTTTCAAACTGTTGGAATAGTTGGATTTAATATGAATTATATATATTCACAAATAAGCATTGATTCTTCCTTATACCATGTTTTCTTACATTAAAAAAGCTTTAACTAAATGTTCTCAAGATGCAACTCTTCCATAGAATACCACTGACATAGTCTAGAGATGTTTTAAAATAAAAAATTTATAATGCATTTAAAATTTCTACGTAAGGTACAAAAGGTACTTACTTGGAAAGTAAAGAGATCAGTAATAATAATATAGGATATGGGTTGGAAGCCCGCAGCGTCAGCAAAGATACAAACGCACATGGCAACCACAGGGACCCAGCCGGGTAACCAAGTACCAGTTCCTGTCAGGTAGAACCAGCCTGATAGGATGAGCATACCCACGCCGACTGCGAATGATGTCGTTACTAAGAGGAGCTAGAAAAAATAACAAAACAGTATTAATAATATTGAATCTATAGCATCGCAGGGTTTTGTTATAATTTCCTTCTTTTTTAGTAAAAGTAATTTTTTTTTGGTGTTTTTTTTTTTCCTGGGGGGGCGAAAGGGGGGGAAAAAAAAAAATTTTTTTTCCCCCAGGAAAAAAAAACCCCAAAAAAAAAAAAAAAGGGGGGGGGTTTTTTTTTTTTGGGTTTTTTCCCCCCCCCCCCCCTTTTTTTTTTTTTTTTTTTCGCACTTTCACGTAATGCAGATATAGGGTTGTCTTAAAATTTTTGTCGACAATCTTCAATGTATTATTAGTAAATGTAATTTTAACGGTTTATAACGCGAAAATTATCTGTTAACGTATTTTTAATTTATTCTAAGTACGGCGTTTTAAACGTCTTGTTTCTATTTTTTCTAAATATCAAATTTCCGTCCGAGTTTGTCCACAGATAAAAAAGACTCGTAGCTCAGATCCAGACATCTTTTTTTCCGAATACTTTAAGCCAAAGTAGATGGATTGATGATTGTCTAACCACTTCTGTCAATGAAAAAAATAACTTATTGCCGACTTACTTTTCTTCCTGTCCGTTCCACGATACATGTGGCTATAATTGATCCAATCAGTTGTACCAACCCAATCATCATAACTTGTTTGTTTGGACTGAGCTTCAAACTGATAGACTCCGCTGCTCGTTCCGTCACAAATCCAGCGTATATCAAAAGTATGAGATAGCCATCAAATTGCTGAGTGATTTTTATAACTAACGTGATAATGAATGCTTTGAAGGTAGGTCTGTCGTTCCCTGAAAGGATTAAATATAAAAATATTATTATACAATACTTGACTCTCAACTGAGTATCTTTATTATAAAAGATATTGTGAAAGATTCAGAATTGAAGTTCCAGGAAAGAAAGACATTTTATTTGCTGAGACCGACCATAGTATAATCACCCACTTGCGTGTAAATTTAACTACTAACGAGACAAAAATTCCAACAATATTTTTTTGTTTCAAAATTTTCAAGACGTACCTACCAGTGATTTTTTCTTTATAACCGTAGAAATTAATTTAAAAAAACCTCGTATTAACTACAATGAATATTCATTTCTTAAAGCACAAACGCCGGCATGAAAACAATTCGGGCAGCGCCTTTAAAAATGCTTAACTAAAGTCAACCGTTTATATATTGCTATATTTTTATAACAGGATTTAATAAGTAAAAAAGATGTCTTTAATAGTACTTCTTACATTAAGTACCTGAATTGAAATACAGCCTATCTTTATTGTACAATGTAAGTAAGATATTGTTTATTGTCAAATGATTAGATTCTAAGGTTCTAAGAGGTAGTGATGCAGTATACTTACTCAACACTCTATCAAAGCAATAATGATAAAGCAGTTCAAAGAATAGAACATACACTAGTGTGTTAATATCTTTGATCATGTCATTAATACGTACGTATGCAAGGATCTAAATTTGTTTTGATATTTTTTTAAAGCTTAAAATTATCATTCAATATTCTTTATACTTTACTGGTATCTTATATTATATAATTTCTTTACATTGGGATTTTTTGCCCAGCCCGATCGAAACTTTTTCGTTTTCCAACTGAAGTGGTCATAGGCCACAATTAAGACACTTACATATGATCTTCCAAACAGATTTCGGATCAGCCTTCGTTTGCTTCTCAATCTTAACTATGTTATCAATGTCGTGTTCAACGGATTGGTCTATTATGGAGACACCACGAAGCCAAGCGAGGACTGATTTCGCTTCCTGGAAAATAACATTCCCTATTTTGTGCTTGTCATAATAAATCATATTCATAATTATTGAAAAAAAGGATTATACATACATCAACCTTTCCTTGTTTTACAAGATATTCTGGGGTTTCCGGCATAATAATGAAGATAAAGAATACGACGGCAGGCACTAGTAAGCCCATCCATAACATAGTAGTCACCTCAAGAATATCAGCGAACACATAGCTCGCTAAATAGCCGATGTTTCTAAAAATTGTCAAGAGGTGTTCATTAATACACCGAATAAATATTAGTGGACCCAATAAACAACCTTTTTGCAACTCTCTCAAAATTCACAGTCATTTTAAACTTGTATTATCAAACAAAAAAAATATTTATATTTAAGTAAACGGACGTTAAGAATTCAGTATGACGGATTATTATATTGTTTTAATTACCGACATTTACATAAAGATCTAATTAATATGATAATTTATCTACGTCTTGGCAAATCTTTTGTTGCCAAATAAACCCGACTAAAGCAGATTTACTTCTGTGTTCATCAAACGAAGTGTCATAGCGAGAATATCTGATGAATGGATTTTGATACATTTAAAATTGTCTAGTTTATTAGTTGTTTAGATGACAAATTTTCAGTCAATCACATCTTCGTGACTCTGTCAAGCTGATTAAAAGTGGCTCATAAATACTCGTAGCATTATGAGACTTCAAAACTATTTTTAACGTTTCTAAAGCGGTTTCTAAGCCGTTTAATACAGTTTACAACATAACATCGTCTAGCTGTTTCTTTTGTTGAAAACACCTCAAATTTTAGCTGTCTTCGTATGTTTAATCTCAAGTTGTATGGTTACAGCTAACCAGCTGGTATGAAAAAAAGCTAGTGATTTGATAAAAGCTTACCTGTTCAAAATGAGGAGGGACCCTAAAGCTCCTCTCAAATCAATATCACTGATCTCCTTCAAGTATATCGGCAGCACGATGTAGCAGGCTGAACACGGTATGCCAGCTATCGCACGTGCCAAGATCAGCGCCCAAGGCTCCAAGCACATTAGCTTTATTTGCCAATAAATCTGTAAGTCGGAAACAGAATTAAATTAGGAGGCTAAGTAATACGATCCATTCTGTATAATTAATAAGATAACGCATTTTATAAAACAATTCTGACGCTAAGGTCACTAAAACTATTTTGTTGGGAAACGTGATTTTATTACGTTACATTGTTTGAGGTTATTATGAAAAAACGTGAACTTTGTACGCGTGAAAATTGTTTTCCGTGTGAATAATTAGGTTTTAAGGAAAAATAATTGACAGAACTTATGTGTACTGCAATAGCGACACAGTGATGCTAAATAGAATGGATTCAGTAGTGATTCTGCTAATCTTAGCATTCGGCAGAGGAATTATTTATTGTTGAAACTTCATTTTTGGTTATACATCGTTACTTAATACATTATATATTCGGTCTTTTAAATCATCGCTACTGTAATGTGAAGGCGAGACTCTTTTTTAGTAATTTTTTGTATCTATAGTATTATATGTTATGTGTACGAGAATATTGAACGATAATTCCTCTATATAATTTAACAAATCTCAAACAACAGCATCCAAACATACAAGCCAATGTTTACATAACGATATCGTATTTTTAATTTTTATCGATATTATTAGCTATAGTTTTTGTGTATGTAAATTTTCTTTTGATCTCACTTTATTGTGGCGACATAGAAAACCTGTTTAGGCTGTATATTATTAAGATCACATGACATCCGATTAAAAGTAAAAATATCACTTTCGTTTCGCTTGAGGTCAATGCCTACACGCAAAAAGCAGCAGGCGCACAAAAAACTGATCATTATACGTTTAGGAAGGAAGACAGTTTTCCGCGAAAACATTCCACGTTGTATTGTGCTTTATAAAAGCAACAATAACACTGCCCGAGTATTGTTCTATGTCGTTTTTAAATTAGTTTTTATCGCAGGATGCACTTTTTTGATAGAAAAACTCGCACCTTTTTGCATACTTAGATAGAAAATTAAATTCCTAAAATGTTCTCTAATAAACAATAGACTGTTATTTATAAGATAATCTTCAAATTCGGAAAGTTACCGATATTCAACTTTATTTCGTTTAAGTTATGCGAATGTTTAAATAAAACACTTTAACGCTTTTAAACGCGATATATTAGTTATTAGTTTAACTAATATATCGCGTTTTAAACCGTTAAAATGTTTTAGTTAAATGTATACTACTCGCGTAAACTATAGACAGTATTTTATGTTAATGTTCATTTATTTCATTACTAATACTTAAATAGCTAAACATCCAGTAGCGTAGCTAGGTGGCAAGGGTTCACCTAATCCTATGGCTCAAGAAAGAATCGGGTCCTCTTTTAGCACATGGTTAGAGGGCCCCTAAGTTCTGGGGCCTAGTGCACTGCACCACCTGGCCCTACGATAGCTACGCCACTACACATCATTGCTCTCCTATTTTGTCCTTTTAGGTAAAAGCAAAAGCAATGTAAGACGGCGATAAACACAGAAGTGAGAAAATATATTATAATTATTTCCGTGTATGTAATCAAAATGAATTAAAGTCGTACGTGATTTCTATAATACGCAAATTACTATAAAATATTGTTTTTCTCTAACTTCCAATAATTTCATTCCTAATAATTCGTAATATAAGTAATATTATGAATCATACAGTAACGATATAAGCATACAGTTAGTACATTCATATTTTTTGTTATCATAATTTAATTACACACACTCATATATCCCTATTTCAGGTCTCTTTAGGTCTTAACATTAACGATAAATTCTCGTATCCACATTTGGTGTGATGGGGACACATTTCTGTATCCGTTTGACTGATTGATTTTTTTTAAGTACTTAATCTGACAGTGTCATGTCAGTGTCATGTAATACCAGAATCAGTCGTGTACAATTATAATTTTTAATTTGAAAATTTTAATATTTGGCAATTTGGTTTACAACAGTTGATTATAAGCCATACATTGCTACCTTTCTTCCAACGACCCTGTCAAATATATATAACTCTTATTACTTACAATTAAAGATAAAGTAGTGATCAACGTCATCGCCTTTCTCCCGAATCGATCTGTCAAATGGCCCATGGGAGCGCCAACTATGATCGCCGATATATAGGTTACAGAAGTCGTCCACGAGATGTCGTTCGTGGTGAAGGGGACTGGCGCTGGGCCCTTTGGTGATTGAAGCACTGAGATCATCGGTGACAGCCATCCTTGCACCATGCCGAAACTCAGCAATGGAATGGTTACTGAAAGAAAAGAACGTGAACAACGTAAATATAGAATTAAATATTACATTTCTATCAGGGTTAGGCACCTTATAAGTTTCTTGTGAAATTCTATAATCTATTCTCATATTATAAAGCTATAAGGGTGTTTGTTTGAACGCGCTAATCTCAGGATACGGGTTCCAATTAAAAGAATATTTTTATGTTGGTGCTCGAGGAAGATGAGCGAAATGAAAAGGAGCAAATTATTCAACTTTGACGGCTTGATCCGAAAAATATGTATAGATGAATTGTTCTTCTTTTAATAATCAAAAAATGTTTGTGTAAAAATAGACAGCGTACGTCGATCTTTAAAGATTAATTCGCAATAACCACGAGACACGGACGACATCATGCGTATGTATAATTTAATAAAAGGATTTTATTCGCAAAAATAAGTAATACTAGTGTGATACCCAAAATTTCTGTTCCACGGAGACGACGTCGCGAGCACAGTTATTTGTCAAAAAAAATGATAAACATATTTATAACTGAAGAATATATTTGAAGACTACTAATAAATTTATTTATTATACATAAATTAGTAGAGTACTGTGACCCAGATCCATACCTACTTATGGTAGTCTATATTTGATCGAGGTTATAGGTAAAATAGTCTAGTACTGGGGATGTCCCTAAAGCCCTAAGTCGTAGTTTAATCAAGGTAAACAACTTTTCTTTTACTACTTAATAACTCAAATACAAGTTCTATCAAAGTTTATGTTCCTTAGAATCGAGTTATCTATTTTTAGTTCAGAAAACTGCTTAAGGGTGTTGTCTGCTAAAAACGGCTTAGCACTCGGCGTTACATACTCTAACGTGCTCTAGTTGTCTCTTTCATAAGCTGACGTTGACGTGTAAGAATCGAAGGTAGCCTAGGTTTTGCTGCGTAGAAGTGCACTCAAAACAATCGTTCTAATCGACGATCGTGAGGTCGGGAGTTCGATTCCTTCGTGCAATTAATTTTTAAACACTTTTAATGCTTTAAGACACGAAATATATTAGTTAACTTATTTTTAATGCATTTTAACTACCGCCCGAAGTTTTGTATGATGTGCAGCCACGGTCACCGAACATTATATAATATAATATGTATATTTTACGTTTTAAATCGTTAAAAAAATGTTTTATTTAAATGTGTACACTACAGACAATGTTTAAGTACTTTATTATTAAAAATTTATAAATAATATATAAGGCATCTTATATTTACTTACGGATTTAATGAGCGTAGTAGATTAAAGCTTAAATATATGTGAACTATCTATATACCTATCTGTCTAACTACTTTCTTAATAGGCTTCAATTCAAACCCCATCTTTCGCAAACTTGAATGAACTATATATATAGTAAGAGTACGGCGTCGATATAAGACAACTGCCTTAAGTGTGATATAATTCTAATTCGGTCTTAACGAGTTTTACAGTTCTGGTATTATGGGAAGGCTAACGACATCGAATGGGTTCAACACAAACCCGTTCGATTGTAAGGAAATGATGATTTCCACAATTCGAAGAAGGTATAGAATGAAAAAAGCTTATTTAGAATTACTGAGATGTTCCTGTGTAAACATTGTAAGTTGAATTAGTAAGATTAGTTCTTCAGGGGAGGACAGACAATATAGTTAGTAAACATCTAATCAAGATGCGCTATCGACCTGTTTCGGTTTTATTTCATGCAAAAATTTTAGATCAAGTGTTTATACTTAATCTAAAATTTATATTTCTGAATAGCAGGAAAAATACGACAAAATATAAAAAGACAAAAACGGTTGAAAAGTTGCAATTCCATTGTTTGTACCGCATGTAGCGTCGCGGGGTGGAAGTAGTTAAGGTTTAACTATGGTTTACTTAGTAACTTGCCAGATAAAAAAAATTCAAAATGGTAGTTGTTACGACTAAAACAATCACCTTTTTGGAAGCACTTGTTTCCTTAAGTATTTAAAGATAGCTAATAATTTTGCACTAATTGGCTGAATATACTGTGTTTTTAACTTTGTATACTAAAGGGGAATCCCATACACGCTTGTAAAAAAAAGTAAATACTGCCTATAGTTTACGCGAGTAGTACACAGAAACGTCGGGCCGAAGTTAAAAATCATTTTTAAATAAGTTTAACAAATAAATCGCGTTTTAAACCGTTAAAGTGTTTTAGTAATATTCACGGCTTTTGCATCTGTGGACGGTGGTTTGTTACCTGGACGCAATCTCGATATTCCTAGCACGCATTTGATATCCAGACTTATAGACGAAGTCCAACATGTTTCAGAAATATTATAAATGATAAATTAGCAACACTTTGGACCCGTTGAAGGTCGAACCCTGGACCCGTTGCTTATTAGCCATACATTGCTACCATCAGATACGTCAATTGTTTGTTTAGCACTTACAGTAACGTATGTTAATCCTAAAATAACATAATTAAGGCTTCAAACTGAGAACCACAAATATACATGTAGGTATAATACATAAGTTATTCGCATAAAAACCGTATCGTTCACATTATTTTTATAAGAATGTGGTTCGATAATAGCTTATTTAGCTTCATATCCTATAAAACAACTTTCTAACAAAATATTTAGATCGAAGCTAAAATAGAGAAATTATAAAAAGCAAACAAGATAGTGATGATGAAAATTAGGTATAAAACCTTCTACGCCCTCTTCGATTGAAATTTGGAGTTCACCTTATGGAAGGTGAAAAGGTCTTATAACATCACTGAAACTCGAATTTACAAAAAAAAAACATAAACCAGAAACAGTCGCTATGTCGATCAGATAATAATTTCGGCCAGGATTCAAACTTAAGAACTTTTGCAAAGCAATGTGGTCACATACTTATCTCTTAATTATAACAACAGTTCATCTTTATATTCGTCTATGTACTTATTTTTTTTTTCGTAAATAAAGAAAATGATGACGGCTAAATCCGGAACGTCGGTTCGCAGTTAAAATAAATTGAATAAAAAAATCACGTTTTAAATCGTTAAATAGTAAATAATCTTAGAATTACGTACAATTGTTAAAACGAATGGAAATGAAAATAAAAGGACTTTCCTTTTCATTTCAAAAGTCTTATTGGAACATCCAGTTCCTAGGTACAATATTTACATGACGAATACTTTACTTTTTGTATCAGAGCTGTGTGACGTCGCCACTTCGCGAGTAACAAATTAAATTATCACCCTTTTTTCTATAACAACAGTAAATTTAATGATTTGAGTAACGACTACTCAACATTTTGGAATAGCGTTTTGGTTGCTTTGTAGAAATTCCACTGAACTCGGTATATAATAACTTGGGTGTGTAAAAACGGGTCGCATATCTGTGTCCGTTTTAATAATCGCTTTTATATGCAGACAGGTTGATCTATTCTAGAAGGAATTATTCATTATATTTTATATGCGTTCAACACTTTTGTAGGAGAGGTCTAGGTAGTCGCTGTACGCTAATCTCCGTAAGAATCTAGAATGACAATTATTACATAGAATATACTTTTCCTTGAGGATGTCGAACGCCCAACATTTATTAGTATTAACTAGTTGTTTTAATCTAGAGAGTTGTGTAATTATAGGTTCTAAAAATTAAGTTTTTTTTATAAGATGTTTTGTTATCATAAACACAATATCGAATTATTCCGGGTAAACTTAATTCGTGTGATTAAAAACTTATTTAATTATTCATTACAACATACTTATACGTTATCTGTACAAGTTCAGATAAAAAATTAATGATTTCCCAGGATTTGGTATCCCTATGTCACAGGTGTTTGTCCGTCAGTGCAATATACACGAAAATACAATCAAAGGAAAGGAAATGTTTCTGATAGGATAGAACAAATTTATTTCTCAAAATGACGTATATACCAAGGTCGAACAAATTATTATCATTTTGAATGAAGATAAAATTTAAATGATAGTGTTATACTCGTAATTAGAAAAAGCTGCCGTTCGGAGATTTGAAATTTCCATCGCACTTAGTTAAGAATAAGATTTGGTATTTTATCATTAAAAATTATCAACCTAGAAGCACTTTTATTGTTGAAATAAAAATGTAGTATGTAGTTAATGCTCTAACATAAATGTATTTTTTATATATTCAAAATATTTCATTCATAAAATAACTCATAAAATCTTTCAAACAATGCACGACAAATTGTAATTTTCACACGTAGTCGTAAATAAAGGAAGTTGCTTTATTTTATTCTACCCTCTGATAGTTGAGCAGTCGTTCTTGCACAACTTGACATTTGAATGAATTTAAAATCAATTAGATTGCCAAATAAAAGTGTTAATAAAACAAAACAGCCGATTGCGACAAATGCTATAATGGTTTTGGTTTTATATTTCGCGAAAAACCTTCTTTTTACTGTACCTCTTCACATCTTTAAAGACATTTAAATAATCCTTGGATAAAATTAATTCTTAATCAAAATAAACATTTAAAAATTTGTTAATTAAAATTTAAACTGTCAAATTTAAATATATCTTAATAAAAGACTTACTTAATATGGCGAACAAATATTGGTTGATTCGCGTTCCATTTTGCCACATAAACTTTGATATTAGAATATTCATTTTTTTAACACCAATCGACAGTTAGATGCGGACGCACCTGCGTCTCTTCGTGAACTGCACGTTGGCGCCGGCAGAAGACCACATTACAACAACTGTTCATTCTCTATTTTATAGTGCACGTTTTATAAGTAATACAAACAACGAAACAGGAGTTTGCTCGTCATTGGTGCAAAGTTGCATTTTACACATGCCAAATTTTCGAAGTGTCTAAAACGTCATTTTTATAATTATATAAACAATTAAAACCTCATAAGTTAATTGCCTATAATTGAAATAGAAACTAAATGAATCTTCTAAACCATCGAATTTTTCAACCGTATACACAATTTAAAAAATATTATAAATGCGAAAGTAACTCTGTCTGTCTGTTCGGCTTTAACGCCGAAACTACTGAACTGATATAAATTAAATTTGGTACAGAGATATTTTAGAGCCTGAGAAAGGACATAGGCTACTTTTTAATGCCAAAAAAGGGATGTTAAGGGTTGAAAAGGGGGATGAAAGATTGTATGGAAATTCGTAATATTTGAAGCTAGAACAATGAAAGTTTCTTCTGTATTTTGGGAATAGGAGTGGGAGTGAGTATAGGAATGAAAGTGGGAGTTAGAGTAGGAGTGATGTGAGGTGTTGCGGCAAAGTAGCACTTACAACAACTATAGGTTGCATGAAATGCGCCCTCACATTAATTAATAAACAGTCTAAATAATTAAAAAATTATATCCCAAGTCACTATTCCACGCGGACTTTGCCCGGGCACAGCTACTTTATATTTTGATTTTGACGGACGACGGAATATAGATGTCTGAAAAATGTCTTATCGTCGCACTTATTATGAGCGCATCGTGTGTAACAGGTCAAGTTCAACTAAGATTTTAATAAATAATTATTGGATTTGAGCTATTAGTGAAGGCTTTTTTATTATTTACATTTTGGAAATATGAATGAAGATTAGATACGTATTTATTTACAGTGCTGTAAGTGTGCAGGGGGGGCGGTATTCTCATTTGGGATTGAGATGAAACATTTAACGATTTTATCTAGGCGTTCTTTAAATTTTTAACTACTAAACGTTGCTCGACCTAAAGTATTTATAATAATCTCTTTCGCCAGATGGCCACAAAAGGCACAGAAATATGCCTGCTCACAACCCATATGAGAAACCGAATTTAACTTTAGGTACTATTAAGTAGCAGTTACTGGAAATTTGCTTTAACAATTAAACTTCTGTAGCGTGCTTTTAACTAGGACAGCAATAAAAGATTATCGGTAAAAACTACGCTATCTATGGTTATTTCATTGAGAAAAATTATTTAGGTATTTCCTTTGAAACAGCCTTTGCGACAGCGGCCTTGCTGGAACTTGGATCTTTACCTGTAAATCCTATAAGTATTTGTAAATTATACCACAACAAATACGAACGACTTAAATAATATCAAACAAAGACAGTATTTGTTTGATATTATTTAAGTCGTTCAATAGTTTACGCGAGTAGTACACATTTAAATAAAACACTTTAACGATTTAAAACGCGATATATTAGTTAAACTTATTTGAAAATGATTTTTAACTTCGGCCCGACGTTTCGGATGCTTTGCAGCAGCCGTGGTCACGGGGAGACTAATATCAAACAGTTAAAACTATTTGCTGCAGAGTGAATCCATTTATTTGATTATTTTCAATAAGAATAATTACATTATAATTTTTATTGAATTCCTCTCGATTGTTGAAAAGTTAAATACACCAAAACCTTCTAAGCAAGATATGCTGTCGACCAATTTTCGATATTTGGAAATCCGCAGATTGAAAACGAAACGCGATTAAGCTTCACGGCTTTTTCATGTATGGACGATGGTTCGTGGCCCAGACGGAATTTCTATATTCCTATCGTCCATTTAATATCCAGATTTCCAGACGAAGTCCAACTTGTTTAAGATAAAATATAATATGATTAGAAACATATCGGACCTGGTGGGAACTGCTAATCGTCACATTGCTACCATTACCGACAAGCCCGTCTTTTATCCCTCTTCGGCGCCCTGGGTTAGTGAGTAAATACTTAAGACCATTTTATTTATGTTACAAACTAAACTCCTTCCCTTGTACTTAATATAAATGAATATAGACCATTAGTTAATTGTGCTTTATTCAGTATAATAAAACTGGTATAAAATAAATTAACTTATATCAATGTCGTCAGTCGTACCCTGAACAAATGTTTGTACGATTATAGTAATAAAAATTTATTATACTGACTACTTACATATATGAATAATAAATAAGCACACAATACAAATTGGGATAAAATAAACTTTGGCGCAAATTTTCCAAAACACTGCCGTAAAATTTTTAAGAATTATAAATCATTTATTATCTAAGAAATAAGTAATTGCGGGCTATATATAATAAAAGCCGGGTACTCACTAGCGATCTACTGATCAACTTTTAATTCTTTGAAAACCCGTGACGTGTATCCGCGTTTCGGCATCAATCTTAGATATCGAAATCTATAAAACTAAAATAGGTCGTGTAGAATACGGTTGCGGTCCTTAATTTCATCGAGCGAAGCAGTAATATATATCTATAATTTAAATAAAACACTTTAAACGGTTTAAAACTCGAAATTTATTGTAACTACGACCCAACGTTTCGAACGCTTTGCAAGAGTCGTGGTCACGGGGAACAAGGGCGTTACATCTACAAATTACAGTCACGACTCGCTAGTGCGTACCCGGCTCTTGATTATGTAACTAGAAACGTTAGTATCAGGCATTGTTATAATTATATAATAAAACCTTTTCTTTAGAGGAAAATGGTTCATTACTTTGGCCTCCACAAATATAATTAATAACCATATTGAGGACTGACTTTTAACAATAGGTCCGAGGACTAAAGGCTTTAGAAGCGATCTATTATATTATAGTTAGTTTTAATAGAAAATAACGAATCTACATCTGTACTTAAATATGGATGTGTCAAAAACGATAATTGATTTCTGCATATGACTATAATATATACTGTCTATAGTTTACGCGAGTAGTACACATTTAAATAAAACACTTTAACGATTTAAAACGCGATATATTAGTTAAACTTATTTGAAAATGATTTTTAACTTCGGCCCGACGTTTCGGATGCCTTGCAGCCGTGGTCACGGGGAGACTAAAGATGGAGGAAGTCTCTGACGTCAAAGTAAAGAATTGCTACGCTAGCGCCATCTGTTCCGTCGAAGTTGGTATTTGGCGAAACTGGCCGGGTCCTTACAGAATTGAGTTACAAATCATTTTCAAATAAGTTTAACTAATATATCGCGTTTTAAACCGTTAAAGTGTTTAATTTAAACTATAATATATGTTTTTTTTATGACAAATAAGCATGACGCTCACTTGATGGTAGGTGAAATATTTTAGCTGTATAACATCGAAACAAGACGCGGTGTCGATCTATTTTGGCGTTGGACATTTGGAAATCCACAGACTGAAATCGGAACGCGATTAAACTTTTTCATTTCTGGTTTCGTGGTAGTTCGTGATTCGGACGACATCGATATTCCTGCCACCAATTTAACACCCAGATCTCCAGACGAAATCTAACGTGTTGTAGAAAAATTACAAATCAAATACTGTCTGTAGTTTACGCGTATAGAATATATACTATGTTTTTAAATTTCCCCATTCCTTCGGGCCTATTGTTTGCAGCCTGATGTTTTATAGCTTAAGGCCTTCCGCGATAAGTGGCCCACAAATGCTTTGCCTATTCGAACCAATAGTTCCCGAGAACAGCGCATTCAAAGAAATAAACTTCAGATTTCCTCTGCAAGGATAAGTTTAACTAATATATTTCGCGTTTAAATCCGACAAAGTGTTTTATTTAAATGTGTACTACTCGCGTGAACTACATACAGTATTTAATCAATTGTTTATCTACGACCTCATGATGACGGCCACCTTAATGCATCAGAAATGACGGGTCGTATTTAAAATCATTTAGTTCTAACTCAATTGTTTTTAAATAGGTAATTCGTCTTCGTCCCAGTTTTGAAGCGTAAAATAGGGTTTTATAAAATTATTTATTTTATTGAAAGAAATAATACTACTACTAATATAGATAATACGAGGCCGCTAGAGGCAGAGTAGCCTAACTGTAAATTAGAGTTAATTTATAATTTAATACTCTAAAAATGTTAATCTACAAGAGTACAGTGACCGAAAACTCTTAACATAATTTTTTAAACAAACTTTAAAAGTTAAATTCATTTTAGCCTAAGTTAATTCCACATTTTTATTTTCCTGCTTATTGAAAATTATGTTTTTTGTTTTTAGGCCACTCTGCCTCTAGCAGCCTCATATGTAGTTGTATTAACGAATAACGGTCCAGTGGTTACTACAACATTTGATCACCATTTTTAGTTCATAAGCCTTTATCTATAGTCGATTCAATGAAGTTAATGTAGCTTCGTCTCTTTCTTACAATCTGGTACAAAAAACAAGGGCAGAAAAGGTTCAAGCTAACTTAGAGCAAGTACTCTCAAGTACAAAGTTAATATATACAAAAAAAATACCATAGATTATACAGTCTTAACAGGTTAAAAAAAACTTAAAAAATACTATAAGATGATTTCGTTCTTGTAACTCCTTGTTAGATGTTTGTGGGGCAGAACGATTGAGTTCAGAAGTATTCTTTCTGCTGGTACCGTTACACCTGCACCTGTAAAAATATATATTTTTATGTGATCTATTGTGATAAGCTGTAATGACATATCACTATGGGTTTGGATGCTGGAGAAACAATTTTTTGTCAATAATTGTATTTCTCGCGTAAACTATAGACAGTATTTATAACTTACCTAGTATAGTCACAGAAGGGTTAAGTCTTCCATCATTGTTGAACAGCGGTGTGTTGTCCATTTTCGCGAATGGCTTATTTGGGTCAGGGTCTGATGGTGTTCCTTCGACTCTGGACCATTCACCGACGGTGGAGTCTTGGCCGACTAAAACAGTCATCACAATTATTCCTTCAACAGTTCTTTCAGTGTTTGGGAATCCAGTGGGGATTCAAGCCTAGATTTAAAGTTTTAAAAGTTGGTCTCGTAGTAGCAATCTGTGGATAATAGTTGTAGATTATATTTTGGGAGTCCATGCACTTGGAAAAAAAACCATCCAATTGATGGAAAAGCTGTGAAGTGTAAAGTAATTTGAATTTAATAGGAGAGGAATAGCAACTCTCCATCAAAGTGGTCTCTCTTCACTAACACTTACAAAAGTCTCACTCACAAAACAAAAAGTACACTCACCAACAGAATACATAACAAGGGAATGCTCGTGTACAGTCGCGTTGTTCAATATAATCGATTCCTTTATTCTTACACCGGCTTTTATTGTCACTCCTGCGCCGATCGAGACATTTGGGCCTATCTGAAAATTTCCAGATTAACTAAGACTTAAATAGAGAAACATCGCACGTATATAACCTTGTGTTATGAATTTAGTACTATTCTTGACTGGCTTGTTATTCCAATGGTAGCAATCTATGGTTAATAATCAACGGGTCGTGAATTAGTTTTCTAGTTTCAACATAAATGTAACACTTTCTGGAAAATTTGATTTATAAATGAAGCGAAAGGATGGTAAAATTAAATACCTAAGGGCTGGGGTACCTTCCATTAAGTAACTCCATGCTTGTATTCACTTTCATAATAAAATATTTTTCTTAATTTATAATTTTATGGAGATTGTATAACGTAACAATGTTACTTATATGACTTACCACAGCAGTACTATCGACAATAGCTGTTGGATGTATGAACACGTCAGGTAAAATTTTACATAGAGCCTCACTCGACTTATTCTGATGCAACTCAAGATAGTGTCTGTTAGCATATACCGCAGATCCAGCTGTCTTCACTTGGGACCACCAATTTGTAACCTAGAAATATCACATAATATCCTGTAGGCAAACAAATAAAATACATGGGTGTCTTATTAGTGACTAGCTGCGTCAGCGACGTCGCCCGCGTAGAATAGTTATTTTGGGCTTCCAACCGCAACCTTGAACCGTTATTTTCTTGAACCGTTTTCGCAGTGTACGCTTCGGAAACCTACAAAGATTAATAATTTTCCCCGTTCTCACCGCATTTTCCGTTGTTTCTTCGCTTCTATTAGTCACAGCGCAATGTTTTATACCCTTCCTCGATAAATATTCTAACCAACAAAAGAATAAAGTTTCAATCCTAACCAGCAGTTCCTGAGATTAGCGCGTTCAACAAACAAACTCTTCAACTTATATATATTTGTATTAATTTAACAGAAAAGCCAGAAAAAACATATACATATATAAAGCTTAAATTAAAAAGGAAAGGAATTAAATATCAAACCTGCAGTGCATACAATTTGTTAGTTCCAGCCAATGGCGACAACACATCTTGTTCCCAAGACATATAACCAGGACTGCCTTGCCCGTTTCCACTAAAATAATATTGGAATCTGAATGTTAGGATGTGTAGGTAGGTAGTAGGTAAACCATAATACGCTATAAATACTTTAAAAGTTTGAAACGCGGTTAATGAAACACTAATAACAGTTAAATAGAAAAAGTTAATACATAACTATGTAATTCTCCATTTTGTATACTTTGTGTTTAAATATAAAATAAACATACTTGTAAAAACTGTCCTGTTTCCGTTGAAATGCTTCAGCCATGATCTGGAAAACTAGAAGCGAGCAGACGTACAAACCACAATTGATCAATGTCGATACATAGCTTTTGGGTTTTTCTACATAGTGAGTTACGGCATTTGTGTTCATTTCTCGAACCATGCAGCCATAGTACACTGACTGTTGACGAGTTGCTTCAGTACCCATTATAGTCACCTGAACAACAATAAGATTTGCAAATGCATATCATTGTCTTTTGGGCTGTTCAGCCGATGTGAATGGAGAAGAGAACCTCTTCTCGCTCACATCGGCCAAAAGACAATGGTATGCTGAACGATGGCCGTGAAAGTGTTACACAATTTATTAAGATTTGCAAAGTTGTTACTAAATAAAAAACATGTTTTTACTCTAGGACTTGGAGGTATAACTCCTTACTGCCCATTTTGGAAAGGTGCCTGGGTTTTGGCTGTTCAGCTATTGTAATTGATAAACACTTTACCCCATTTTTCAAATACAACAGCTGACCAGAGTAACTTATCTCATAATCTAAGGGCTATCAAAATTATCAGAAATACATAGTACATTCTCCATAATCTTACCAAAGCATTAGGCTTCCCTTCATGAAACTTCCATAACTCTTTCAGTGGAAAGTCAGCACATACATCACCATTTAAAAGAAAGAAAGCACTTGGATTGCCGGCTCTCACTTGATCTCTGAAGTGGTAAAGACCTCCACCTGTACCAAGTGGCATAAACTCATGGAGATACCTGGAATATCATTACGTGATAAATGTTTGCTCTAACAGTACATCTTATATGTACAATTACGGACGAAGTTACAGAAGATGACATCAAAGAACTACATATGGAACAAATAATAAGATTCTGCAAGCAAACCGGAAGGTTTGAAGAGGACACAGGGAGAGTTAGATGACCCAAAACTTCTGCAAGGAGGAAATGGGTTAAATGGTCGGCTGATAATGTGGACCAACCACCTGTCCTACCGCAGGTGTCCCCGATAGAAAATAATAATAATGTACAATTATAATTAGTGTGTTTTTTTAAATCATGATTTACATGTATAATTGCAAATCAGAAGTAGAGCACTAGCAAAACAAGCTAAGATAAAGGAAAGCATGTAAGCTATAATAGTGATCCATATGGTCCCACCAATGTTTATTATGTCAATCTAAACTAAATTTTCAACATTTTTTACCTTATAATTAGTCTGTATTCCTTCTGCATGTCAGTAACAAACTGTGCCATAATACTTGTCGGATATGATCCAATTATTAGGATTTCTTTGCATTCCTCTAGATTTGCACATGCTGCTATGTGGTGTTGGATTAAGGGTAGTCCAGCTATAGGAAAGAGGGGCTTAGGTGTATCCAGTGATAATGGCCGGAAACGTGTACCTGAAATGTACAGCACAATGCTATAGTTTAGAAAAAAAAAAAAGTATTTTCCCAACAAAGTCATCTTACATAGTTATATACTAAATGTTAAAAAAATGTAATAAAACGAATACTGTAGTTTAGAATGAGCTTTACCGGTATAACGTGAAATTTACCTTTTTGAGGCCCACCGATAAGTATTACAGCTTTTAACATGATTAGCTATTATAACTTATCCAAGACTCGTATAAAACGTAGCAAAGATCCAGTCGCAAAAATGGTATATGAAAGGTTTATTTACACAAGTTCAAAATGCGACGATTGCGCTAAAAACGTAAATAACACGTCAGTTTATCGTTATCAGTAAACGTCACTGTCAACTCTGAACTGGTAATTGTTAAATGTCACTTTGAAAAAAATAAAATGACATTATTTTGCATTTTATGATATAGCATTCGGAAATCCACAGACTGAATCCGGAACGCGATTAACGATAACAGCTTTGAAAACATTAATATTTTTTACATGTTATTGCACATGAGGGCGATATATGAGCGACTCGGTAGCTCTATTGGTAGAGCAACAGGACGGAACGCTGACGATGCCGGTTCAAGTCCTGCCCGAGTCGAAATTTTTTTTAATTTATTTTCGATTTCTACATGATAACAGCTTTGTCATTCATGGACTGTGTTTCGTGACACGGGCGGAATTTCTATATTCCTACCACCTATTTAATATCCAGGTTTCCAGACAAAGTCCAATGTCTTTCAGAAAAATTATAAATTGAAAAACTAGAAAATTTTTGGACTCGTCTGGGATCGAACCCGCGACCCGTTAGCCATACATTGCTACCAGACCAATGAGCTCGTCAAACCCAGCTTTATATTATTTTTAAGTTAGTTAATTAATAGGCTGAGTAATCATTAGAACTTTTAAATAATATTAATCAAAATTTAATAATAAATAAACAAATTAAAACGGTTGTATTGTGACGTGTAACGTATAGGTTGGTGTATATAGGTAGATGGTAGGTAGATGTGCATTAATTAATGGTTATATTGTTATTCTATAATGTATATGTTGGCTAGGGTATATCAATCTCGGAATTATATTTATTATATACTACTTTACTAAAAATCACTCTTTTACTTCTATGAGCGGGCCAGTCTGAAAACCAGCGCTGCTGAGTGTGACAAGCATTCAGCAGCATAGCTGAGACTGGTACCGATTGCCATCTCTTATATATTTATTACTATATTATTATTCTTTTTATGTACACATTTAGTTATAAGTTATAAGTTTGTAAATATATATATTTTATGGCAATAAACGTTTTGAATTTGAATTTGAATTTGAAATTTACTTCAGTAATATAATATGTAACGATATAAATTTAACTTACCTATGTAATTTAGAATCTCTTCTTCTCTTGAATTTCTTTTGGTCTTTTGTTGGTTATAGTACATTTATTCGTTATTATTATGCCATAGGCCTGTTAATTTATATTTTGCATATACAAGTAGGTACGTAGAACTCACACTTATTATTAAGTAACAGCAATACAATAAAAATTGTCCTTGGATCCTTGACCCTGAGCAGTCAAATAAACGCCAAGTTGGTTGTATTTCGATACCCAACCCTTATAAATTTACAATCGATTGCCCATTCGCCCACTAATAAGCACTATAAACTTAGGGTTGTCACCCTCTGTAACTTTAAATAATAATTAAGCAACTACAACTGTATGGAAAACAATGAACAGCTTAAAAATTTATTATATATTAGCACAAACCGAATTTCTTTTATTTGGATGTATTGTTTTTTTTTTTCAAATTTTCTTTACTTCTCACTGTGAGCCGTATTTTTCAAGTATGAGTTTTCGATTATCATTTATGACTAGGTACAGCACTACAATTCAGCCTAGCAATTTTTTCCATTCTATTGACAATTTGTTCTAGACGTTTCGTCATCACGAGTGGATGACATCATAAGTAAAGAAGAACTTATACAATTTTCACCATACAAGGTGAAAATTTGTAATTGGAAAGATGTTTCTATATTTTTTTATGATAAAGGACCAACGGGCATGGGCATTCACTTGATCGTAGGTGAAAACCTCATCCTAAGATAACATGTAAAGAAGATGAGCTGTCCATTCATTAGGCTTTGTATATTCTGAAATCCACAGACTGAAAGTGAAACGCGATGAAAATTCACTCATTTTTTATCTGTAGACCGAAGGGTATTTTGATATTCCTGTCACCAATTTAGTGCAAATTGAACTCAATGGGGATTAAGTCTCAGAACATCCCGTTGATAATAAGCCACATTTCTATTAGACCAACTTTCAATTAGACCAACGTGCTCGAAATTACATATTTTCTTTGGCTTTATATTGTAGTTGCCTAGAAAGATTACATAAATACTGCTTGCTGTTTATATTTATGACAGTTTTATATAAAATCTTGCAGTTGACAGCCCTATCACAAGATATCAATATGAAAGGTCAGCATAAAGTGGTTTCTAATGCACCGAGAGAAATGTACCGATATTCAATATACACTTAGAGACTTACTTGGTTTGCTATCGGTCTACGTTAAATTTGCAATTAGTTTTTAATGATAGAGGAGGACAGGAAGCATGTGGTTGACTTGATTGAAGGTAAAATACCCCAGCTATATATCTAAAAAAGAAGTGCTCCTAACGCGAATAAACTTCGGTTCGGTTCGGTTCGGTTCGTCATGCGGTCGGAATTTCGACATTCCAAATTTAATAACTAGACATCCAGGTAAAACCCTATGTTTATTTTTCATAGACTTATATTGGTAAGTGATATTATAGAAGCTAGTGAAACCTCCCGCCGCCAGTTGTGTGATTTACTTAAAAACAAAAAGTGTTACAGTGCGTTATACAAATACATTTAAAACACTAAAGGGTAAAAAACCTCTAAGCCAAGTCTTATTTTCACACTTATATGAAGTGTGAAAATAAGACTTGGCTTAAAGGTCTCGTTACCAGGCCATTAAATATAAAGAGATGTTTCAGAAAAATTATAAATTGATTAGAACAATGTTGGACGTAGACGAAATCGAACTCACGATACGTTGATTATTGGCTACATAACTACCTATACATCAACGAGTCTATTAAAATCAAATTATGTAAATAAGACTACTATACTGATTATTATAGTTTTTTGTTTATTGTGCACAGATAATTATAGCATTTTTTAGTAAAGCAAGTTTCCCGCCAAAATGGAAGTTCTGTGTTGCGCTAATGTACAAGTTATGTTAGGCACGGCATGAAGAAAGTTGTTGAGTTTGTTAAACATCTATTAAGAAGTTGTGGCAATATTTTTTTTAATAGACTCTAGATTTAATAATACATTCTTAGTGTGGCAAAACAGATTTAAAATTCTGAAAAACATAATTTTAGTACCTTTGGAGCACACAAGTCTAATTCCCTTTTGTATATAAATAAAATCGATATTTATGTTAAACTAAATTTTTATATTAATAATTGTCTGTTGTAATTCATTTTTCTTTATGTCATATATTTTTCCTTTTCTTTTGTTGTAAATATATAATGCTGTGCTTCTCTGTAAGTATAACACTTAAATACTAATAAATTGTGTAAGGCTTTCACGGCCATCGGTCAGCATATTCAGCGAAAAGAGGAGAGAAGTTAACATGTGATAATGACGTCGAGAACCTCTTCTCGTTCACGTCGGCCGAACAGCCCGAAAGATAATGACATACTTAAGTACTAGTTTGTATAAGTGATTATATTATATTGTATATATTTAGTTAGTTAAGTAGTTAGTAAATATTTAGTTAAGCCTTTAAGAATAAATAAATTTGTGAAAGAAACTCATATATATCTACCCCTTGCTTCATATTGGGGGCGAGATTTCCCACTTTCATTTACTTACAGTTGACGTGTTTGCCGTATCATAATCCAAGATTACTGGACCGAAATTTATTTGACATTAATGATGTTTCCCTTCCTTAAAAGATTTACCTACTGGAAAATATTGCACACTTCACTTTATGTGTCAACGAGTCTGTTAATATTTATTTTCATTGAAAGTTAATTAATTTATCGCTCAACTTAACGATGAAACTGATGAGTTTGTTTGTTTGTTTGAGCGCGTTTATCTCAGAAACTATTATTTTGATTCGTAAATGCGTAGCTAGATGATTCATAGTTTTTCAAGTTTTTTATAGAGATAAATTGAGGCCGCTAGAGGCAGAATAGCCTAACTGCAATTTTATAATTTGATATACATATATTTTTATAGTCTAGAAATGTTATTCTCCAAAAGCACAGTGACCGAAAATTGTACACACTTTTCGGTCACTGTGCACTTTACTTTCTACGGTTCTTACACAAATAATAGTACAGATTATTTTTCGCCTAAGTTAATTGCGCCTTTTTTATTTTATTCTTTATTGAAAATCCTGCTTTTTGTTATTAGGCCACTCTGCCTGTAACAACATGACATAACTGTAAACCTGATGCAAGTATTTTCTCGATGTACGATCTCGATGACGTTTAAATTCCAAAACATGATAAGTAGCTAAGGTCAGGCGTTGGCCTGTATAAGATTAGTGTAAAATGAAATATACTTATAGCAGGATAACATTAGTATCAGAAACATCCTTGTTCGGATGTGTGGAAAATGGAGATTTTCCGGCTCTGAACGTTATAAATTACCCGCCCTCAATACGTAAACTTCGAAATCCTGTCAAAGTGAAATGTGACTTACTTTGTACAGAAATATGTGAAGTGAATAAAGGTGGCAAGTTGTTTTCACGAGCTGAAATATTTTCACGTCATACAAATCGCCTTTATGGTTCACGCGTAAGAACCGGCTACGGTTCTGAATTTGAATTCTTGAAAAATTTTGGTGATGTGAAACGGCCAGGGCTTGAGCCGCCAGAGCAACGTTCAAGTCCTGCCCGAGTCGTAAATTTTTTCGATTTTTACTTCTAGATACGGACATAAAAAAAATTACATTACCTATATCAAACCTATGTAGCCATGTCAAACTGCGTTCTATGTAAGGGAAATATGCACTGAGTCAAAGTGCAACCGGAAAACTTCTGCCGCTGTCGAGTTTAAATTGAAGAAGTAATTACTCAAAGTGACTCGAGAAGCGAGTTTGCTTTCCCGCTGATTGCGACATAACTGAATAAACAGAAATCACAGTCATA